ACAAACAGATTATGGATGACAATGTCATTATTTTAATTATAAATAATATAAATTTTATTAGGATATTTGTTCAGCATTATGATTATAAACGTTAGGTTCTTATCTTTAAAACTATTAATTATTATATTAAATATAATAAAATAATTGTTATAAACTGACTATACATTCCCTTAGTGTTGAAGAATAATGAATTTGTAAGCATTTATATATTCAATAAGTCTATATATTATAGAATTTCAATGCATGTTTCTTGGATGTATTTTTGAATGCGCATTTGATCGAATTATGGGTGACTTTCCCCGTTATATTATGACTACGATACGATCGATGAGTTTTGTCATTTTATTCGAGATGTTTTATTGATTTTGAAATTAAATTTTTCATCTACAAAGTACCAGGTTATATGTTTTATAATATATTGTATCATTAAATTGTTGATCAAATTAAATACTTTATAAGCCAAAGTAAATAGTTTAAAATATAATGCGATACGCTCTCTTCAGCAGAGTCTGAATATAAATCGACCAAATAGACGTTCTTCCATTGACCTCAGATACAGCCGAACTCACCCACCTATTTCCTATATAGAGACTTCTGTCTATGCCAAAAAAAGTTATTGATATTTACTAATTTCAGTTTAGTCCAGCAAGGAGCCAAAATTGGGGGTAGGGATACCAGGATTGTATCGAGCCATTTTTCTAAAGGAAAAGAGCTTGATTTTTCGAAAGAAAAATCAACATCCAAAATTCTGGGTTTTATTATCGTTTGAACTGGCACCAATGGGAAGCAGGTTCACGAAGAAAGCCTATGCAAATTCTTGCTCTAGTTTATTATTACGTCTGTTAATTTAGGATTTATTCATACCAAAAAATCTTTGATGGATATTAATTTACGGAGAACAACTGATTCTATAATAGTCTAATATCAATAAATTTATTTCTCTAAAGAAAGTTGACAGGTTAAATTTATAGACATTACATCAGAATATTATAGCATAGATAGAATATTTCATCTGGTAACGTTATTAAGCTTGTACTTTTCGAATAATTTTTAGTATTATTGTACATATTGTTCATATTGTATTTGAATTTTAGCTTTGTATTTACATCAGTTAATTCTGATTTTTTTTTTTATGTTCCTATAATTCTGATATTTTCAATTTCAACCAGTACCCCCACCCCTGCGCCCAGTGCAAAAAAAAAAATTTTTTTTTTTAAATAAATTCCTTTTTTTCCTTATTTATTCACTTTATTTATTTCTTGGTTTCCTCACGCCGCTTACCACGTGACATTCAACCATTTTCAAATGCCAGAATATAAGATGAGTTTTATGCCGTCACAGTAGTTCCGCGGTCACGTGGCCCTCTATCTGGGGAACCATTGCTCAGAACACGACGATGCCATCGTGAAAGGTGAAAAAAGACGGCTCCGTATATGACCATATATGGTATTCTACAAGATTCCTGATTTACATTTTTTTTCAAATTTCAGCATGCTGCCAAAATGTCAGTGTAGAAAGTTTTCTTATTGCAGAATATCGAAAATGATATTTGCTTAACGATATTTTTGTATGTAAAACAACGGCTCAGAAATAATTTCTTCAGATGAAAGTAAACGATTTGTATCTTTAAAGAAATATAATTATAAAGGGAAAGAGTGTGACATATATATATGTGTGTGTGTGTCGCAAATTTTACTATTTTAGAAATATATATTGGAATTTTACGATTTTATAGATATATACCATTGTAAAATTTGCAAGATATATATCGCAAATTTTACAATGCTATAAATATATATCATGAATTTTACGATTTGATATATATATATATATATATATATATATATATATATATATAATATAATCGTAAAATTTATTATATATATAAAATTGTAATATATTAACTTATATAAATTTATGTATATATATATATATATATATGTAATCGTAAAAATGTATATTAATATATATATATATTCTAAAATGCGCGATATTTAATTGTTAAATATACGATATATACATATATATACATATGCATATATATATATATATATATATATATATATATATATATATATATATATTAAAATTGAAAAATTTGCTATTTTCTTACGGCTCTTTTTTAGTATTGAGCACTATTATTAACTGCTGTTTTTTTAATGATAGTGTACATGCACATTTCGAAAAATCTTTCATCAATTTTATCTATAAAGAGAAAAAGAAAGGCAGAGTAATAGTTGTTAAAAACTGTTACATCTGTTGTTAGCCATGACAGGGTCAATAAACATGCCTAAATGTGGTGCATGTCTTGTAATAAAATTAAATTGGTTGTAGAATGTAAAAACTACCCAAGCATAAGAAATAAATCCAACAAAAATGACATTAAAGAAAAACTTTTTTTGTAGCTTTTGAGTTCATCAGATTTTAGACTTAAGATAATGCCATAAAATATAACAAACATAAAAAAAGAAGAAATTACATTTACAATATTTTATTTATGTAAAATGAATATCTATTCTTAGAGACAGGAAAGAATACAGTTTTCTTTTCTTTCACATTTTGACTGCTTACCTTAGAAATGGCAAGCCTCAATCCAAAGAAAAAGATTATAGATAGATAGATAGATAGATAGATAGATAGATAGATAGATAGATAGATAGATAGATAGATAGATAAGAAAATCGATGGACGAAACATCAAAATAAGTATAAAATAAGCTAATGCGTTTGATTTATCATGACCTACTTAACGAAAAAGATTATTTAACTGATAATTTTATTAAAATATTATTGCAAGTTATAAACAGCATCGTAAACAGCAGCTTAATAGTTAACTCTGTTTTCGCATAGTTGTAAAATGTAGGCGACCATCAGAATATGCATTTCTGAAATTGACCAAAACTGCACATCAGCTCTTTTTCTGGTAAATAGGTTGGCTTTTCTACTAACCATGTTGATATAACAATGGCTGATGTAAGTGCACTGATTTCAGCTTTAAAGATTTTCATGATCCAGCAGTAGAATTGTCTACAATCGATCCAATGCTTCTCGGAAAAAGTAAAAGGTGGTAAAGATATGAGTAGGTCTCTGGAGGTTTTTATTTTACATAGATTTTTAAATGTGTATCATTATTAATTGAAGGTAGAAGGTATGTGTATGTTTGCGTTTCTACTTTTGCTCCACACACTCAAATAAAATCAACAAAAGTTTAAATAGATGTTGGAAATGGCAGGAAGAGCGACTGAAAATAAAGATTAATCAATAAAACAATATTTTTAGCATCATGGGATGCGAAACTGTTGATAAAAATAAAAACGTACGTAAGAAAATAGCAGAACAATGAACGTGAGGAACTACTTTGAGACTCTAAGACAAGCAAAATAGTGAGCAAAGAATGGCTTCTGCACAGAAATATCATTGCCATTGGAAAATCCGCTGCAATAAAAACGATAGGGTTTATGAGGTTCTGTGTGTATGAGTGGGTGTGTATACTTATTTCTTTACGTGACATAGGTAAGATAGATAGATAGATAGATAGATAGATAGATAGATAGATAGATAGATAGATAGATAGATATAGACAAAGATATATATATATATATAGACAAAGATAGATGGATATATATATATATATATAAAGATAGATTGATATATATAGACATAGATAGATGGATATATATCGAGATAGATAGATAGATAGATAGATTTTCTGATATGTAAAATTATGCATAATATCTATCACCTTTACGCTGCAGTTCAAAGGTTAAATCTATTATTGCGTATACAACTAATCTCTGAAATATACCCTAACTTTAGAAACAAGAATAAGATCGATTTTAATTAATGAATCTTAAAAGAGACTATACTAAAACCTTCAAATCAAGTTTGTCAGCTCTTTTCTGTGTGAAAAAGCCATACGTATTATCGCTGCTATTATACCCAAGCGATTTTGACACGAAAGCGACAACAGACATTCCAGTTAAGTTTCTATGCAATCATTAATTAATTAGTCAACGATTGAAAATTATTGACGAAAGTAAATATTTATAGTTTGTTTAAAGCAATGTTAGTTAAATCAAAAATGGTCGCTCTTAATTCTGTAAGTTGCCATTTTCACATTGCAACCATCTATGATGCCACAATTTCAGTATCTATAACCGCTTAATCCCTCCACTACAGGCTTCGATCCGGGATCAATGCGTAGTATCTGTCCTCAATAATCAATAGAGAAGGTGACTGGTTCCGAGAATTACAAACTTGTTGCTGCACCTTCCCTGTTGTACTTGGGATCGATGCAATATCTACAACAGCGTAACAGTTGTCACGATGACTGGGCAATTATTGTCCTTGCCCCATAATTATATGTAGGCGTATTGGCTCCCCACAGACAAAAAGACCTATTGTCAGATACTATCTTAGTAGTAGGGGGTCAGGTAAATAACTACGATTATTTTTACTTTTCGTCATTGTTCACTTAAATGTTCCATCATTTAACGTCAAACAGCTTTTTTTTTCAGTATTATTCATTTTACTACGTCAGTTCCATTGCCTTTACTTCTTTTCTATGAATGAATGAATGAAAAAATAAAATATATTATTAATATGTCTATATAAAAATTTTAAAAAAGTCCTCTACTCTAAAAAAGGTTATGATAAATGCTCAACTTAAGTAAATATACCGGAAGGTATCCGAACAAAATGATGTTAGAAACGCGCGCTCTTTCTTAAGACATGTGTACAATACCTGTACGACATAAGTGTTGCTTTTGCTTTAGTATTTAAGTCAATTTAAGTTTAATTATTCCTTGCCGTCCGCTAAAGAACTAATAATACATATTTATAAGTCTCTAAATAATTTATACTATATTACTGGAAGTACTTTTTCTTGAGATGTTACAATAAAGGCAATCATTATAAATCAAGAATATATTTAAAATGTATATTCAAAATACGTTCTTTTTTAACTTATTTTATCAGTACTCATTGAATAGACACAAAGCTCTTTAAGCTGATATTAAAATTTCTCATTGATATCATCACCATCAGAGAAGATTAGATAGACCAAAACATATTTTCTATGCATGCTTTCTTATGCGCGCGAAAAAAAATTACAAATGTGTCTTAGGCAGTATTTTGTGCGCGCCTATGTTTGTGTATCAATGGGTATGTGAATTACATTGATATCTTCTAGAATGGATGCGAAACAGAATAATAAGCAAGGCGTCTACAATAACAGAATAATGAAAGAAACTAAACGTTTGCATTAATAATAACCAGCACTTCGTGAATGTATCATATGGGAAACGCTAAGAATATTATGGGGTGGAAGAAAATCAGACGCAATACCGAGATTAAGAATAGATAAATTTATGAGTCTGAGTAAATGGCTTTACAAATTTACGCATTATAAATATATTTTATTAATCGACAGATGCTTATCGTTTCTTGCAAAATAAACCTAACTGCGCATGCGTTAGATACAGAAAAATTCTTTATGTGGATTACTGTTTAATATATGCAGACCATGTACGCATTTCTTACTCTATTGTTAAATGGGTATAATTTATGCAAAGCAGATAGATAGTAAAAAGCATCAGTTATGTGTAAACATTATATATATATATATATATATATATATATATATATATATATATATATATATATATATATATATATATATATATATATATATATATATAACCCTTTTAAGAAATATATCTAGCTTAAAGTTTGTTTCCACATATACACATATATGTGTATGTATGGCTTGAATGGATTTAACTTTGTTGTTATTCATTGAGAAAATTAGAGAGCATCAACTGAATGTGGGTGCTAAAAAATAAAATCTTGCTGGGTCAATTTATTGAATATGTGTAATTGATATAAGGCTATAAGTCAATACAAAAAAAAAGAAAAGATTTGCTTCCGCTGTGGCAGATGATGTCACAAATGTTATTGATAAACATCTCTAATCATTTCAAAGCTCCAAGAAAAAACCGAAACACACATGAAATTAATTGTAAGTTCTGTTTGGCCCAAATACAGTATTGATTATTTACGTAACGAAAAAGTCATTAGAAACACATTGAATCCACCCATATTCTGTGTGTTGATCCTCTACACTATTTACTCACGCCTTTGACCGCAACTAAAAATATGAAAACACTTCTGGTACAAATTAAATCAATATTCAACTAATCACAATTTGCACACTTCAGTAATAAAACAATACTTATAATCATAAATTTGTGAAATAATTTTTCCCGCCATTAAGAACGAAACGAGAAAAAAATTATTTCCAGAATAGAGAATGTAGAGACTCCCAAGCAGATTATCAATCATTAATGAAAATCATTGATTCAAACCTAAATTCACGGCAATCTCTTCCCTGAATGAATAAATGCAAACTGTATAGCCTATATTAGACGATAATTTAATATTCTTATTGAATATGCATATGTAGTTGTTTATTTAAAACAAATTCAAGAATGGTGTTATAACCTCATAAAGATAATGAAATTTACGGTTTATTCATGGCATAAGCTTCGCTCCTAAACCAGTCTTTCTTAAATAATCTAAAATAAACAGTTTAATTTCATTATTTAATTCATAAATCATCTTAAATGCAGCCAGAACTCGAAAATGCCAACTGTGATACCGTTACAGTGTGAATAGCAACCTATTTTGCGATGTAGTAGCTGAATCGTTCTGATAGTAGTTGCTTGTAGTAAGACATTTTTAGTAGGAACATTTATGCTAATACAAATTTTGGTAGTTGTCATACATTAGCTGTGCTGTCGTCCTCCTTTTGTCCGGCTACTATCATGTTTACCTATCAACAATCTACTGCAGTTTCATTCATAAAACGGCGAAGCGTAACACGGAAAGCTAACTCCTACAAACTGACGTCATTGGCAAGATTTATGAATGAAAGTACTGCAAATGTATGAATGAACTGAATCGATCGATGGTCTGGCAAGATGATAGTGGATGTTATGTAAATATCTTGCTTTCTTCACCAACGATTGGACAACTGTGCAGGAGACTTGCTGGTCATGCGCAATACAGCAAATTGTATATATATATATATATATGTGTGTGTGTGTGTGTGTGTGTGTGTGTTTGTATTTGTGTTCGTGTGACTGTAAAAATTTTCTACAGAGAATGTGTGTATGAGTAAATCGATATCGTAAATCTAAAAGAGGGCAAGTAAAGGTGGCAGACGCGTATGAATTCAACAGTTTTAAAGAAGAATGTCTCTGTTGCATAGAATTATTTTCGTCTCTCTTTGTTTTTATTGTTCATTATTATTTTAAAATATATTTTTTACATTTTGTATAAAACCACTTTATCTTTATAATGCTGAATTAACAATTTTTAGATATTCACAGAAGAAAACTGCATGATTGAGTTATTTTTCAAGGAAAAGGGTTTCTGTTTTTTTTTTCCAATCGAGTTTATATATGATGTGACTTAATTTACAGCGTACATTCGTGTAACTGTATGCCGTGTTCTTAAGGAGCACGAGTTTTAATTATCTATTGCAAATTACAAAATTAAATTTTTATTTTCAATTTTATATTTTTGAAGCAATAATATTTCAATGAAAGCTAACCATCACATCACATGTTTTATCTGCGTGTATTGTTGAAACGATTTGATTAATGTTCCTGTCTTAATTCTTTTAAACGCCGTAATGCTCCATGACGGAGACGATCATGACTCTCCACAGATTCTCTTTCTTTATTTTCTGTGAACTGCCTTGACTTTTTAGGAAAGATAAAGAGTGGCTTCTCGTTGTCTTCTCCGAAGCTTTGTATCAAGAGTTTTCCTTCTCCAACACTGGTTGCTTACCCATGCTAGAAGGCCTAGTCTATCTACTATTTAAGACATAACTGGAAGGCAGGAGAAGAGATAGATTTATGACTTTTTCAATAGAAAGAAAGTGAACGCATCAGACAGGGCGAGAATTTGAACTCTAACCGCCGACTCCACTTACCATTACCTTTCCAGATTTAATATGTCGTCTGTTTTTCTCATTTTTCAATTCTGTGTGTTATTTTACAACTATTCTGTCCACTTAAAGAAAAAAGAAAATGGATAAAATATACACGTCTATTTCTCGCGTGCTGGTTTATATAAAAAAAAAATTGTGAATATATTTTGTCAAAGGTTTAAATAAATTAAATTTATATATTGGAGATAATTTGAGATGGAAATATTTTTTAAGAGGTGGATATCCGACCATCCATGACTGGAAATGTCTATTAAAAAGTATAAGAGCGTCGCCCATGGAAAATCATCTCCTCATTTCATTGAAATCGGCATAAGCCAATAAAAGTGGGAGATTTCTGAACACAGCATTTCTGCAAAATCTATGGATCCTCACTTGTGTCACATGTTATGCTCGTGAGAAGACAGATAATTAGATATGCAAGCAATGAATTGGCTTTTGTATCGATAGAATCTGACGGGAAGCTGGATGTTGATATATGTTTAGTTACGGTTCAGTAAACTTGTTTCGCACACCAATTTATTAGTGTAGTGGCTGTGTTCCTTACTGTGCGATTCAAATTTGTGGCTTCGTGCTAAACTTAGTAAATATCTTTCAACAGTTTATAATGGAGTGATGTTTATTGGACTAATCTAATAGAGCATCACAATCGTGTAAGGAGCGTGATCCTTTCAGAGTGTCCTAAATTATGGTCTTCTACCAGACTAATTTACAACACCTGTCATAGTGCAATACTTAGCCAGATCGTCCCGCGGACTAATTCGTAATTGTCGTGAGTTCAATTCTAAGGGTATCCACTGGCCTTGTGCCAGACTAAGCTATGCTTAATAAATACGATTAACACTGACCAAAAGCGTCAATAAAATTTACTGTAATTTATTTATCAATGGAGCTTATTATTGCTACGGCACGAAGTCAAAATGAAGGAAAGACGGATAAAAGGAATAGTGTTACACCAAGTGGGGAAGACCTCTTTGCTTATTGAATCCACATCCAAATTATTTGTTGTTGTTTTTTTCTGAGATCGAATACTGAGATATGGTGCAAAGTATATTAACTGCACTAAACATAAAAATTATATTCATATATATATATATATATATATATATATATATATATATATATATATATATATATATATATAACGGATAAAATTAATAGGTTATTAAACAGTTATAATAGGATGTTTGTCATTGTAATTTATCCCTGAAGATGTTCTTAGAAAAGGTCGAAAATATTTGGGATTCTACCTTTTTGAAATTATAGACTTGCATCTGTCCAATGACTAAACTTTGAACTTGTAATGTAAACCAACCCTTTTTTAATGCTTTATTACGAGTTCACTTTTAGTTTACTTGCTACAGGTCGATCGATTGGTTGATTGGTTTTGTTTTACGGCTTATCAACACTTTATAGCTTATTTATAGTCAAAACATATTTTTGAATTTTATAATTATAGTTCTTTTGATTGAGAGTGAATCATCTATTAACAATCTGGGGGATTAATATAAACTAGAAAACAATACTGTTTGTCCTACTATTTAATTTGTAGCTGGGGAAAAAGAAATCATGGATCGATAACTTTCCCAAGAGTTCGCCTAAGTGAATGTAACGAATTCGATGCTACAGGTAGGTTCTTTGCTTAATGCAAACTCAATGGTTCCGAATTATCGACGCTTTAATTTATTCAAAATGTCCTCAAAATGTTATATGCTCCATCCAATAGGAAACAACTTCATTCATTCTGTAAAATTAGTTTTATTTCCATTCATAGGGAATTTATTGATTTACTATCATGAGTGACTTCGATAAATTTTGCATATATTCACCGTATTCAACGAAGATTCATATCACTGACTGGTCAAGGACGATGACGTCATTCTCTTATTTTCGTTACGTTGCATTTTTCTTCTAAAAGTATTTTCTTCTTGTTTTGCTTCATCAATTTACATATATATCATTTTATTTTATCCATTGCAGGGTATTATTTGTGATGATTGCGAAGAGGTAGTAACTCTGCGACCGCCTTCGATTGGAAGTACCGTCTGTCAACAATGCCAGTGTACCAGAATAGAAAGAAAAGAAACCATTTTAGAACTTTTACAGACAGAGATCAACTATGGACGGGATCTTAAGATATTATTAGAGGTAAGATAATTCATTTTACGTTTTGAAACCAATTTTATTGGCGTTATTTATACCTTGGACATTGGAATTGAGCTCCATTTATTTATTTTTTTCAAAATTAAATGTAACTTTTTATTCGAGAGAAACCTCGCCAAAATGAGGACGTGAAATGATGTTCACGAAATGTGTTTAGGTATTTAGACAAGTTGGGGAATGTGTCTGCGTATGAATAGCACTGAACGCACGTCAAACTAGTTTTACATGTGTTTGGGCCACTATTTGTTTAGTTTACATCCAACTTTTCTCTATTATATTTTTTTACAAAATTTTCACAAATGAGCATACAAGGAATTCTATGGTAGCATATCATTTCATCAAAATACATTACATCATTAAAATGCGCGCACACGCAAGCAAGCGCACAGACACACACACCCATATATATATATATATATATATATATATATATATATATATATTAGGAACAACTATGACAAAGAACAAAAAGTTTTCGCGTGACGCATTTCGTCCTTTAGGACATCATCAGAATAAACATCATTCGCGTCTCACAAAAACTTTTTCCACTTTGTCATAGATGTCCCTAAAATTGTGTGTGTGTGTGTGTGTGAGAGAGAGAGAGAAGTACAGAAAATCTTTAAAAATTTATTTCGGCTATAATTTATTTCATCTCTTCAGACCGAAGGATTTTTTAAAAATATGCTTCCGTCTGATATGAATATTTATATATATTCATGAAATAAATTATAACCGAAATAGATTTTTAAGCATGTTCTTTTCTCATTATTAATATATTGCTCTGTTGTTACATTGAGCACTTTTTGAATTAATCTCCTCCATGGAATTATCCCTATTAATTTTTATATATCAAGAACAAATCCCCCCAAAGTGTTCGCTATCCTATATATATATATATATAACCCAATGTAAATGTAGCGGTTTACATATGTTCGAATGTAATATCTTATAATAAAGGTGCATATATATATATGTGTGTGTGTGTGTGTGTGTGTGTGTGTGTGTGTGTGTGTGTGTGTGTATTCAAACATATATTGTTAAATATAACAGACCACAATGTTTTATCATGAACCTTTCCAAACGTCGTATAATGGCTTTAGTTTCAATATATGTTTGAGCAATGATCTGCTGCTCCTATACACTATATATATATATATATATATATATACATACATACATATATATATATAAAGTACGATTCGCAGACCATCAGCTACGCTCTGCGTTCATATGTTGAATAGTGTGTCACACATGCGTGCTCATGTCTTGATCAAGCAAACTATTACTGGTAGTTAACAATTGTTTATATATATATATATATATATATATATATATATATATATAATTTTTTTTGTACTAATATACACTCAGTACGAGACCCAACAGTTATTTCCTGGTTTATGCTTATTCATATAAAATCAATAAAAATAATCGATATATTACTGTTTTATTAAAATTAACTGTTTTCTTCAAATCATTATGTCTATGTTCAAGATCAGAAATTGCTTCAAAGCACTATGTAAGTTGTATTTTGACCAAAGTTCGTTTTTATGTCTCCAGGAATTCTACCTTCCCATCAAAGAGGCATCTCTCATTAATAATCAACAGCTAACGTCTGTCTTCTTGAATCTGGAAGAACTTGTTGAAGTCAATGAAAACTTCATTGAGAAGCTTAATCAGTTGATTGAGAATTCCTCATTGGACAATGAAGAGGTGAGTTCTAAGATTTTCAAAATTATAATGTCACGTGATATTTAGGAAATGAAATTCGTCAGATGAAGATTTTATTTCTCTTTCCTTTTTTCTTCTTCTCTTCTTTCATCTTTCTCTCTCTCTCTCTCTCTCTCTCTCTCTCTTGCTTCCTCCCTTTCTCTTTCTTTTGTAAGTTACTGACAATACACTTCGATTTAAATCTTCTTCTTAACTTTCCTCTCTGTATATTTCTCCAGCTTTTATTTATGTCTCTATTTACTCTTCCCTCTTTCTCTGTTCCTCTATTCAATTCATTTTTCTCTCTCCCTCTCTCCCTCATGACAAAATTCAACACTCACAACTCCTCGACTATCAACTTCTTTCAACACTCTTTCTCTTCCGCTTATTCTCTATCTTTTCATGTTAATCGTTCGTCCTCTTTCTAATTCCCAGCTTAATCCATTCACCACTCTCACCAAGTCTTATTTTATGTTTCATCTTGTTACTTAGTTCATTCATTCTCTCTCTCTCTCTCTATCTATCTATCTATCTATCTATCTATCTATCTGAACTTTATAATCCCCTCGCTTACCTTTCTCTTTACCCTCTATTTTACCCTCTTCCCCAAGCGTACTCTTTCACACCTTAAATACCTGATATTTTTCAACTTGCAGGGAGGTCAATGCGTCAACATTGGTCACTTGTTCCTCAATTGTTTCGATATGTTCAGAGCATTCGAAAAATACTGTGTTGATCAGGTAAGTTGCTTTTTTCATTTGAATACTTGATAAAAATAGATGACAGTGTACGCATTTTCCTGATAAGGCGGCAAGCCATTCCCTGTTACAGGCAGGCACATTTTTATGTTTGTTCAACAATCAGTGTCCTCCTGTTGTTTATACAGCAACTATGCTGAGCGGACCATAGTTACAGTTTCTGAGAGAGAACGCATACTCTTGCATGATCAGCAATTCAAACAACGATATCTGTCATTGTGACTTTTGCCTTGTGCTAACACAACCATCGACGGATTGCAAACAGTTCCGTCTACCCAAATTATCACACAAGGCTTTGGTCAACATCCCCAGATAAAAAAAAACGTCACCTTCCTGACAAACAGACCATAGTGAGATTTGAACCAGGAACTCATAATCTGAAAGTGAGCGTTCTAAACACATTGATACTTGACATGTTCGTTTGTGCCAAGAAAGTTATAGAATATCCAGTAATTTCGATCTAACAACATATTTTATATTACTTTAATAACCAATACTGTTACAAACAAAACTAGAAGAATATTTATAGATAGATAGATATATAGATAATCAGTATACAGTATTAACATTTGAAAAACAAAAACACTTGATTGCAAACTGTCTACTATTACAATAATCATATTCAACTGTTAGTTCTCAAATTACGCAACCTCGAACAGATTAACCCAATAAACAAGCTGAAAATTATGTTAATTTTCTTCTTTTTTTTTTTTTTTTTTGCTTCCTCCTATAGAGCATGGCGATCGATACTCTGGAACAACTAGAAACGGAAAATGACATTCTTCGAGCTTTTCTGCAAGTCTCTCAAGCTGAAAACAGTGCACTGAGACGCATGAGTCTTAAATCTTTCCTTATGGTTCCTGTACAAAGGGTTATGAAGTGAGTATCATTGTTCTTTTATTTCGTTCTCTTGGTACAGTCTCTTTTAACAGACGCCGGAAGATGTGACACTGAAATCCGAAGGTGTACAAAATAGCAAAAATGCCTTTCAAAAGTATTAGGAAACAGGAAAATGTTAGAAACATAGAAAAGAGTGTTAGACTTCTTTGTAATATCAATTCTCCTATATGACCGTGAATGTGGGACAATTTTCTCATCGATGAAGTGGAGACTTAAGGCAACAGAAATGTAGATCCACAGAAAAATGCTAAGAATACTATGAACTGTGTGTGTAAACAACGGGGAAGCTTTAAGGAAAACAGAATAAAAAAAAGGACTGTTATACTAAGAATGAGAAATAGGCAACTGAAATTTATGGGGACATAATGAGGAAAGAGGGTTTGGATAATTTGATACTCATAAGACATAGTGAAAACAAGTGGAACAGAAGGAAACAGCGAGTAAGCTATCTAACAAGTTTGTGCGAATGAATGTCAATGCAAAGAGTAGGAAAGAGCGTCAGAAAAGAAAACATTGCTAAGAGTTACTAAGTACAGGAAGTTGTGGAGAGCCATGATCGCCTACCTCCTGAAAGGACACAACACATAAAAAAAAGAATGTGCATTCTCTCATAATACTTTCTGTTTGGCAAGATGAATTACATTAAATTACTAATGTTCAAATTGATATTTATTGACTAAGGTTAACAATAGAATTTGGTAATTCCCACAGAGAACTTAGAAAGGAAAAGTTTAACGGGATATGGTGCGATAATCACTACTCTGCATTTGAAAACCTGTGTCCATGCGCATCGTAAATTTATATGTAAGTATATTAAGTCTGTAGTATAATGATACAAAAGTATTTATTTTACGCGAGAAATATATTTCAACATAATCTCATTCATTGTCAATGAACTTAACACAGTGATTCTACATTAAACACAGAGATCAAACAGTAAACAAATCAGAATTCAACTATATCAGCCAGTGGATGTATGTTTCTACCCTCGTATATGCATATATTGTTATCTGTATAAATACATACATTTGAGAAGAAAATGCCAAAATATAGCAAAGTCATTATTTACCTATAACTGGGGTAAAAGAAAAGGATTCATACCTAAGTGAATGTAATGGATTCGACTGGAATTCGAACTCGGCTCCTCAATCCGAGCCGCTATCCATTACTCCAGCGGGCCTTCCGTCTATTGCTACGAGAATAAAGATAATACTGAAAAACATGTTTAATACCTTCTCTCTATCTATGTCTTTCTGTCTATTTCAATCTCTATCTATCTCTCTCTTTCTATCTATTTCTATCTCTCTGTCTATTTCTATCACTATCTCTCTATCTCTAGTTCTGTCTATTTCTATCTCTCTATCTCTATTTCTGTCCATTTCTCTCCATATCTCTTTCTGTGTATTTCTATCTCTCTATCTCTATCTTTCTGTCTATTTCTATCTCTGTATCTCCT